TCTGCGTCCTCCTCCCTCTACCTCCTCCCTCTTCCCCCCTCTCTTGCTCGTTTTCCTCCGCTTCCTCTTCCTCCTCCTGTCCCTCCTCCCGCCCCGCTGCGCTACTCGGGCCCACTTTTGGGCGGCCACCGCCCAGGCGACACAGGCGGCGGCTCCCCCCAGTTGGGAGGCGGCCGGCGCGTGCCCATGCCGGAGGGCCCAGCCAGCGAGGCGCGCGGGGAGGGGGCCCCCGAACGGTGTGGTGACCATGCCGCCTGGTGAGTCAGTGGTTTAGTCGGGCATGTCCTTCTACATGAAGAACATCCCAAAATATTAGTTATACGAATAAAAATATTAATAAGAATACGAATACTGATAATACGAATACGAATAATAATACCAATGCTAAGAATCATGATGCCAATAATGCTGATATTAATAATATAAACAATGATAATAATAATACTCATAATCATAATAATAATAATATAATAATAATAGTAATAATAATAATAGTGATAATAATAACAAGACTATTAATCACAATAATAATAATAACCATTTTAGTAAGAGTTATAATTATGCTAATAATAATCATACGAATGATAATAATCATAGTAGTGATACGAATGATGATGATAATAATCAGCCATCATCAGCATCAGCATCATCATCATCATCATCATCATCATCATCATCATAAACAGCCTGGGGACGATGTCTACATGATTTTCATCACGTGGCAATATTTGGCTACTTTGCATTGTTCGTCCCGTCTCCGACACGGGGCGTTGTTCTGTTTCCGCGGATGCCCCGTGGAGCGTAGCCGTGCGACCGCGTATCCGCGCGATCGCGCCCCTGAATCCAGACCGCGAGGGCGCGGATACGGATATGTTCGCCGTTCCTGACATTCTTGGCGTTTTCGTTCCAGGACGTGCTTTCGTATGTTCCTGGAGGTGTTTGGCAGGATTTTCGGGTGTCCACGTCGGTTCCTTGAAGTTTTCGCGCCTCGGGACGCGTGCAAGAAGCTGCGCCCCGCCGAGAGCGTTCCAGGGGGTGCCCAGATCGTTCCGACCGGCCAGCGGAGGCCCGAGTTATGACCCAAGAGCCGGATTGCCCTCGCCGGAGTGACCGTTCGTGCGCGGTTTCGGGGGGCGCGGGAGGGCCAAACCAAAGCGCGCATCGGGAGCCTTGAGACGGGGGGCCATGCAAACGGTGGTCAGCCAGAGCGCCAGATCTTGCGGGATCCTGCAGAGCCAGGGGTGCACTGACCCGGCCCAGCACGCAGGATCCTGCAGAATGTTGCAGGATCCTGCAAAGCCCGACTCACCCGGGTTTGGATTGACCCGGGTCAGTGCGTCCCCGAGCGCAGGCAGATGTTGACGCATGCAACGTTCGGCAGATTGCGCACCAAAGGTCGCTATTGCCTGCACTCTTGTGTGTAGCCGGAGGGAGAAGGCAATCCAAGAGCAAAGAGTCGGCACAAACATAGCCTTTCGGAGGGCCAGGCCGGTTTGCGCTTGGCCTTTCTTGCTCGTGCATGTGTCGGTGGCCTGGCGCCGCCCGAAGAAGTCTGCGCGGAATTCTGAAAGTCCATGCTATCATCACTATGCCATTTCCCCGTGTGTCTTACAGGTAGAGGGAGGAGGAGGAGGAGGAGGAGGAGGAGGAGGAGGATAGGGAGTAGGAGGAGAGGAGGAGGAGGAGGAGGTAGGAGGAGAGGAGGAGGAGGGAGGAGGAATAGGAGGAGAGGCGGTAGGAGGAGGAGAGGGAGGAGGATGAGGCACGGAGGAGAGGAGGATGAGTAGGAGGAGGAGTAGGAGGGAGGAGGAAGGAGGTAGAGGAGGCGGAGGAGGAGGGAGGAGGAGGGAGGAGGAGGAGGAGGAGGAGGGGAGGAGGAGGATTTTTTTGGAGTCGAACCCATGAACAGCCACATGACTCCGCTGGCGTGGCGAGTGCCAGCGAGAAAAACGGCCGCGCCACGGTCGGGGCCGTGCCCCGCGACCGAAGCGCGACCAGGGAGCGCAGGAGACCGTGCTCCGCGCTCCCTGGTCGGGGTAGGGGGCGCAGGAGCACGTGCTCCGCGCCAACCCTACCCACCACCCACTCCATGGGTGGCCGCGTATCGGACCCCGGGACCCCGACACGACACGACACGACACGACAGGGGGACGAAACGAACGACGCGACACGAACGACACGACACGAACGAGCGACACGACAGGGACGGGCCGCCGACCCCGCCCCAGGGCGGCAAGTGCTGGGGGGGAACCCAGCACCGCCCTGGGGAAGCACACGGGGCCTGGCGACCCCCCCGGGGGAAGGAAACCGCGCTTTGGCGGCGTCCCCCGGGGCGCGGGGGCTTTTCACCCCTCGGGCCCGGCGCTCCCCGCCTGCGCCAGGGGGACCCTAGGGTCCCGACCCCTCCCCTACGGGAGGGGCCCCCTCGGGGCAGGAGGAGGAGAAGGAGGAGGAGGAGGAGGAGGAGGAGGAGGAGGAGGAGGAGGAGGAGGGGGAGGAG